TGTACACCCTCCCATCCTAACATCCCTCCTCTCCCCATCTTCTCCTCCTCCCTCCCCCATCCTAACTACCCCTCCAATCTTTTTCCTCCTTTTCCCCTTTGCCCATTCGAACCACCCTCTCCACCCTCCCCCTTCCCCTCCTCGCCCCTCCTCTCCTGACCCCGCCTGGCACTGCCCAAGCCCAGTCTCTGATTCTGCTCAGTCAGCTGCATCTTCAGTGCCAACACCCTATTTTCGCTCCAGCTGGCTGTCTGGTTGTTTGGTCCTCAGGGGTCCCACTTCTCACGCATCGAGCTTCCTTGTGTGTGTGTCCTTCTCTGACCTGTGTGGCATGCTCTGTCCCCTGCAAGCCCTGTAAGGATGGGGACTGTGGCACAGGGTGGTCCTGTTCTCCAGCACCTAGCAGAGCCCCTGAAGCACAGAGACACTCAGGGGATATGTGCTAGAGAAACAAGATGGAACAGAAAAGACAGTGATGATTAGAACCTGGTACCAGACAGAGCTGGGGGTGTCTGGGGTAGGATGGGCATGGGGGGAGCTCCCAATTGGTCCCCTCCTGGGTCGCACATGGTGGAGGCTCAGCCCAGAGCACATCTTGGTAGGTGCCACAGAGGTCACAGATGCAGCCTGTCTGACATGGGCAGGGACCCAGGAAAGACCTCACCTGGGGGCCTGGGGCTTGGGATGTGTGCGGGCCTGGGGTCCGAGGCCTAGGGGCCTGAAGGACTAGGAATGTGGGGGTTTGAAGGGCCTGGCAGCCTGGGAGTATGGCAGCCCGGGGTTTGGGGGCTTGGGGGCCTGAGGACCTGGGTGTTTGGAGCCCTAGGGTTTTGGGACCTGAGGGGCTGGGGACAACTCTGGAAGCAGAGTTACCCACTCTACGTGGCCAGCTGGGGTGAGGGTGCAGGCCGCATCTGCACAGGATTCTGGGTGTATCTGGGGGAGCCTCATCTGTGCTCCGTAAGGGGGGCTGGAGAGGCCCCGGGGGTCCTGTGAAGGCCCTGAGGATGGCTGGGACCTGGCAGAGCACAGGTGGTGGGGGTGGGTGGGACCCCGGTGTGGCCTCCAGCATGGTGACCCCCTCGCTGTGCCTCTTCCTCCAGGTCATTGAGGCCATTGCTGGCATCTCGGCCTTCCTGGGTGGGGTCATCGCTCTGAACGTGGACCACGTGATCTTGGGCCCCCACCTCTCTGTGACCTTTTTCTGGATTTTAGTGGCTGTGAGTACACGGTGCTGGGTGGCTCTGGGCTCATACACCCAGTCAGGGTGGGTTCTGAGTTCAGTGTTGGGGTTGTGGGTGGGAAGTGAGCACTGGGCAGGTGAGCACCAGGCAGGAAGAGGGTCCTTGCCAGCCCCTCCGTCCAGGAGGATTCGGGGGTGAGGAGCAGATGAGTCTTTGCACTTGTTTTGGAGCTGTGTCCCCTAGAAAGTTACACTGAAGTCCTCATGCTGACCCTGTGAATGTGACCCTGTGTAGAAATGGGGGTTTTCTCTTTATGGTATGAGGTCAGAACTGAGTGGGGGGGGTCCTGCACCTGAGCCCCTGAGTTATGAAAAGAGCAGGACAGACAGAGACATACACAGAGAGATGCCACACAGAGCCGGGAGCCCAGCGATATGAAGAGCTGCCGGCAGCTGTAGAAGCTCGGAGAGAAAGGTCTGTCCCGGGAGCCCACAGAGAGCCTGGCCTGGCCGACGTCCTGAATGCAGGACCCTGGCCTCCAAAACTGTGAGACATGGATTCTTCTTTAAAGTCCTTGTGATACTCTTGTTATAGCAGCACTTGGTGACAAAGACACTACTAAATACTTACATATTTAGTATGTATTTACATTGCTTGATTCTATAATCGATGCCAATGGAAGCAGCAGTCAGGACATCTGACGATGTACAGCACTGGGCAAGTCAGCTGCAAGGGACCTCTTTCAAGTGCTGAGGAACAAAGATGTCTCTTTGAGGACTAAGGTGTGCCTGACACAAGCCATGATATTTTCAATCACTTTATATGCATGTGAGAGCTGGACAACGAATAAGGAAGACCAAAGAAGACTTGATGCTTTTGAGTTGTGGTGCTGGCGAAGACTGCTGAAAAGTACCGTGGACTGCTAAAAGAACTAACAGATTTGTTCTGGAGGAAGTGCAGTCGGAATGCTCCTTGGAAGCAAGAATGGCCAGACTTCGTCTTACCTACTTTGGTCATGTTGTCAGAACGGACCATTCCCTGGAGAAGGATGTCATGATCGGGTAAGGTGGAGGGTTGGCGAAAGGGGGGAAGGCCCTCAACGAGATGGATTGACACAGTGGCTGCGACGATTGGCTCAAGTATAGCAGGGATTGCGGAGCGGGCGCAGGATCGGGCGGTGTTTCGTTCTGCTGTGCATGGGGTCGCTATGAGTCGGAAACGACTGGACGGCCCATAACAACAACAAGTACTTATGTCAAATGCTCAGCACAACAGCTGCCGCCAAGTCAGTTCCCATTCCTGGTGACCCCGTTCACAACATGCCTGGTCCTAGGCCATCTTCACAGTCGTTGCTGTGTTTGAGTCCATTGTTGCAGCCACTGTGTCAGGCTACCTCATTGTGCTTAATAAATGGTGACAGTTTTGAGTCTGGTTCTAGTACGTGGGTGGCTTTTATAATGTTTACTTGAATAATGTCATACCGTCTGACTTACCCAGAGTCTCTCCTGGGGCTGTTAGCCCTGCACCCTCCTGTTGGCACATGTGGCTTTGCTGGGTTTGGGCTCCTGGTGTCTCAGCAGGGTCAGTCTGCTGACTATCCACATGGCACTTCCACATGGCCGGTGTCACACTCTACGCCACCCACCTGTGAGTATGTGTTCGGGCATTGACCACCACGTGATACAGTGCTGTGCCTGTCGCCAGGCTTAGGAGTGTTAAGTTACAGTTTGTCCAGCTTCTCACCCCAGAGCCTTTGCGCAAGCTGCCCCACCCCTGCTGCCCAGGCTTCCCTCTGTCCTGCTCACCCACCACCAGAGCCCCTAACAAACACTCATGCCTCACCTGCATGTCCAAGGGCCTAGAGACGCCCATCATCTGGAGGCTGACGCCCCGGCCCAGGGCCCTCCTTTTCCTTTGTGGGCAGGTGGAGGGCAACTGCAGAGCTTTAAGGTGCTTGAGTCATGGGCTCACCTGCCTTGCTAGGCTTGGGCGGAAGTGGGGGTGGGGTGCCCAGAGGCCAGGGGAGGGGCCCCAGGAGGGTGGAAGGAGGGCAGACCTGGCACTCAGCAATCTCCTTATGCTGCTGCACTTCCTCTGCCCACAGTATATGAGAATAGATCAAACTCCTTAAGATAAGTAAGAAGAAAATTAGCAAGCAAACAAAACACAAGGAGAAGAGGCTGACAGTGCGGGTGGGAGCTCTTTATAGGAGAAGGCCAACCAGAAAGCATACAAAGCAAAGACGAGCCCTGGGGGCAGAGCACTCAGGACCTCAGGGTGACCCCATCACTTACTGATTGCCTATGGGAAAAGGCACCCAAATGGCGGAGGCCTTGGCAGACACTCCTCAACCCAGGGTTCCAAGTTAGTACATCAGCGCCCTGCTGGGAAGACACACCACCCTTCTGGCCTTTTCCTGTGTCTGACTGACATGGAGAGGTGGTTGGCAGCAGTGCTGGCCCCCTACTCCTCAAACACTGCCATGTCACGGAGCCTCCAGAAGGTGGGGGAGACTGACTCTCTTGGTGAGGGCACTCCTGCTCACTGATGGGGGTAGGTGTACAGAGAATGTGATTGGGACAGACGGGGTTTGAACATGGACACTGTGTCAGCAACACGTGGACTCCAGGGTGGATTACCCAAGTGAGCCCTACTGGAATGTGTCTGTGCGGAGAATGCCTTGTTGTCTGCAGAGATGTGCAGAAATGTTAGGGGCAGGTGTTACTGAGTGAGAGGCAGAGAGGGAGTGTGCAGATGTGGAAAAATGAAGAACTGGTGATTTTGGGTGAATGGGTACCAGTGCCTGTTACCCTGTTCTTGCACTCATCATCCCGAGTCCTTAACTGATTGGAGAAGGAACTTTGGGGGGAAATCCATGGTTGGGATGCCCCTGTGTCATTTTTTTCCATTGAAGTTTCTCTGGGAAGCACCTGTCCTCAGTCCTGCACCTGTAGTGGGGATGGCATCATGCATTCATCAGTGATGAGCCCTGCGCAAGTCTACAGGCAGCCTGCTCACAAGGCAGAGGAGCTCACAGTGAGTGCTCAGGGCAGTGACCTGAGATGTGAATCTGCCACTCTGTCAGATCTTCAGTTTCCCTGTGGTTGCTCTGAGGAGCATGGACCCGTGCATCCTAATGTGGCACACAGGACTGGGGACACAGGTGATCAGGGCGGACAGCACCTGGATCCCCTAGATCACAGCCCAGTTGAGTACAATTGTGATGAGGGTTGGGGAGGGAATTATGGGCCACAAAAACTCTCCACATGGCACAAAATAAGATTCAATCCCTATCTCACACCATACACAAACTGAATTCCAGCTGGATTAAAGACCTAACTATGGAAGGGAAAGAGATTATCCTCTTGTGTTTCTTAAACAAGAACAGAAAGCTCAAAATGTGGAGGAGAAGACTGATATATTTTACGTGTAAAAATTTAAAACTACTCCAAAGTTGTCAGAAACAAAGATTTAAGCCCACCAACAAACTGGGAGAAGATCTTTGCAACCTATATAACAGACAAGGATTTGTACTCAGAATTAAGAATACTAAGTCAAGAAGACAAAGCCAGCCCAGCCAGAAAAGTGGGCAAAAGGTATGAACAGAAGAGGAGAATACATAGGCACTGAACAAGGAGAAGGTTCAGTCTCCCCAGCAATTGGGGAGGTGCCCTCTAGTGGGGTGCGAGAGAGATGCCTGACAGTATCAAGTGTTGGCAAAGATGTGAGTGGACAGGCTGCTGGGGGGCAACTGCTTGGACAAAACTTTCTCAGGATCTATGAAAATGGAAAATGCAGACTCCCTGTCTCCCATGGTTCGACTCTGGGCAAACACCCAAAGAAACTCTCATGCAGGTTGTTGTGGCATCAATCGTGTCTCCTCAAAATGTGCACTAAAGTCTTAACCTCCACACCTGTGACTGTGACCCTAGTTGGAAACAGGGTCTTTTGTTAGGTTAATGGGGCCACACTGGTATAGGGTCTGTCCTAACTCTACTCCCTTCTGAGTCATACAAATAGCCGACTGCACACAGAAACCCATAGGGGAAGAGGAAAACTCTGTGAGGTCAGGAGCTTCAGGGACCGCCAGCAGCTACCAGGAGCAGAACTGGACAGGAAGGGCCCTCCCTTTAGAGCTGCGCCCTGTGTTCAGACTTGGGGCCTCCCAAACTGAGAGTAAACGTCGTTTCTTTAAAGCCACCCCCTGGTGGCATTTCTGTAACTGTGGCACCTGGGAGCTGAGGCCCACCTGCACCAGGAGATGAGCAGGGGTGCGGCTGGCAGCCTTGCTGCACTCGGTGGAGGTTCGGCCCACTGGCCACGGCAGGGACAGAAACACCAAGAACATGGGAAGGACCCATCTCGGTCTCTGTCTGCATCTCTGTGCTGCCTGCCCCCCCCCCCAGGGCTGCAGAACCATAACTTGCTATTGTCTATGCAATTTTAAAACATTAAATGGTACCCTCGACTGTCCTGTGCATGGCCACACAACTACCGCAAACAAACAGCGTGTGGGAAGCTACCCTGCTGACATGGAGACGAGGGTGGAGGGGCCTCAGCTCTACCTGTGATGTCCGATTTCAGGGAGCTGAGCTTCAAAATGGCGCCTCTAAAACCTTTCTTTTTTCTCAGTGTTTCCCAAGTGCTATTGCCAGCCATGTGACTGCAGAGTACCCCAGCAAGTGCCTGGTAAGTGCACGTCTCTGTCCCTGCTGACCACCCAGGGCTTCCCCTTGACGGTCCCCGGCCCCGGGTCAGGCTGGCCGGGGGAGCCCTGAGCAGGACGAGTGAGTCTGCAGGCCGGGGGGCTGAGGGCAGGGGGGCAGGCTGGCGTGGCCTGCTGCGCAGTGGAGGCACCACCACGATCCCGGGGCTCCCTGACCCTGGCTGCCAGGCTGCGGAACTTTGGGCATAAATGTCACACGCGGAGGTGAGCCCCGGCAGGAGAAGCCCAGACCTGAAAGTGGCAGGGCATGCATGTGCCCTCGGCCCGGCCCTGAGACACAGGCCAGACCCCGGTGTCAGCCTCTGCGACAGCTGTGGGCCTCGTGTCGCGCAGGAGGTGCCAGAGGCCGAACGGGCAGAGGAAGCCTTAGGTGTTAGCCCCCAGCACCACCTGAGCTGTGGCTGAGGCTGATTGGTGGCCCATGGGGTGCGGCCGTCCCCAGGCACACGGCAACCTGAGGCCCGGGCACGGCTCTACTGCAGACTCTCGTCTGTTCTCTGTAGGTGGAGGTGCTCCTTGCAGTAACGAGCATCACGTCCCCGCTGCTGTTCACGGCATCGGGGTACCTGTCGTTCAGCATCATGAGAATCGTGGACGTTTTCAAGGATTACCCCCCAGCCGTAAAAGTACGTATGTCCGCTATTGTATCTTAAACCCTCAGGGAGGCACGTGCTTCTCAACAGTCAGCCACCGGCAGCCAGAGGACTTGGTCCACGGACCCAGCTCAGAAGGCAGGATGGGATTGGAAACAAGGAAGGGAAGTGGAAACCACAGGGAGGAAGTGGGAAGAGCCCTGTCACCCTGAGGGGATTGCAGTCAGTGTCGCGAATCAAAATGTCTAAATTGTTGACTGGAAAACCAGTTGCTCTGTAAGCTTTCACCCAATTCACAATGAAAAGTTACGGAAACACACAAAACCTGTCCAGCCATCACGCTGGAGTCCCTGGGGGGGTGCCGGGGTTAAGCACACAGCTGCTGACCAGAGGGTTGGGGGGTCGAGTCCACCCGGCGGTGCCTTGGAAGGAAGCCCCATGGAGCCCAGCTGCACCCGGCACACGTGGGGATGCCAGGAGTCCGAGGCGATTCCACGGCAGCTGTTCTTTGGGCGAGAAATAGAGTAGCATTGTGCCAGCGGTGGGGGCGGGAGTGGCACAGCTGCGTGAGGGTCTCGAGCTCAGGATGTGTCGTGGAAGAAGCTGGGGTCAGGTCACCCCTGCTGCCCAGAGGTGGCTTTGTACGAACAGGCCTTTGTTCCTCATAGAGTTGATGACGTGGGCTGAGGTGGGCTCTAACAACGTCTTTACTGGGGCAGGAGCGCTGCACGTCCTCTGACCAGTCCCTTCTGCTCCCACTGACCTGTGGGGCCGGCTCAGTGCCAGCCCTGTGTCTGTGCGGGCCGGCTTCTGGGATACCTCCTCTGCCCACTGCTTTTGTTTCTTTAACTCCGGGTCGGCCCCATCTCGCGTGGCCCATCCCATCACGTCTCAGGATGGGTTTTAGTCAGAACTGCATTAAACTTACGGGCCAATTTGAGGAGACTTGAAGGCATTGTGACTTTGAGACTTTCCCCATAGAATGTAATCCTAAACAGAACTTCTGTGACATCTCAGTGAGATTTCGTAATTTCTTTGGGAAAGTTGACGTGTAGGTAGCTGGATTTGCTTCCTAGACACCTTGCAGTTTTTGGTTGCCATGGTAATGTTCCTCAAGTGTTTGCGACGAAAAATTCCAAATGTAAAAAAGTAGAAAGAATAAATGCAGAGATCCATGTGTAGCCCCACGTGCAGCCCACTGCCCGTTAGAAGAAAGACATGGTTCACACCTTGCCACACCTGCCCTCACGTGCAGCCCACCATCTACCAGAATAAACACACAGTTCACATCTGGCCCTGCCTGCCCCCATGTGCAGCCCACGTGCCCATCAGAATAAACACATGCACATATCATTGCGGAATCTTCTGGAAGTGATGATGCTCTCATGACATGACCATTTACCCCTACATAGTTTGGCATTTGTAAAAGTAAAGATAATCCCCTACCCACACACAGCACCATTATCGTCCTCAAGGTGATGACTGTTACCACACAGTGCCATTAGTCGTTGTCCACATCCAGTTCCCGTGAATCACCCGAGAATGTGCCCTGTGGGCTGAGGTTTCAGTGCTGGGCCCAGCCGAGGCTCACACCTTGCACTCACTACCAAATCCTTTTCGTCTCTTAATTCGGTAGTCCCCACCTTTCCTGCATGGCACTGATTTCAGAGAGTCTGGGCTGATTGCCTTGAAGGTCGCCCCACACTTTGGACCTCTGAGAGCAGTCCCTGGGGGCGCCCTTTCCTCTGTGTTTCTTGTTAGCTGGGAGTGGCTCCAGGTGTTGGCCAGCACCTCCAGGGAGGCAGGTCTGAGGCCTGGTTCGGGGTGCAGCTACCAGGTGTCCCTCGAGGGGCAGTGAGTGAGCAGCCTTGTGTCACACTCAGACAGCCCATGGTGTCCTGTCCTGAGTCCCTTCGATTTGTGGCCAAGTGTGGACCGCCAGTCCCTGCCTGAGTGGTTTTCACCTTGTAGGGGTTTGCCTTCGGGTTCCCTGCTTCCCCCTTTAGTCGTGGACACTCTTTCGTGTGGCAGAGCTTTGTCTTTCTTGTCACTCCCTCAAGGACGGGTGGGTGTGTAATTGTGTTTAGGGTTGTAGTCATTTTCCTCCTGACGCTCTGATGGACCCACATTTGGCCCAGGGAGCCCCTTGCAGCTGCCCTGGCTCCAGCCTTTGTGAACTTCCTCCCAGACGCTTGCACCAGCCTGGGCTCACGTCAAGCCGTCCCTGCCCCAGAGGTGCCCTGGTTTCCTCAGTGGGGAGAGGGGTGCGGAAGCCAGGCCTGGGGTCTTCACTGGGGAGAGGGGCACGGAAGCCGGGCCTGGGGTACTCGGTTTGCTCTTTTCTCTGGGGTGACATTGCTGCCAGGCCCTTTCAAGGGACCAACCAAAGACCAAGCCCACTGCCACCCAGTCGATTCCGACCACAGAGCTGGGACTGGGAGTTTGTGTTGGTCATTCCAATTCCAGTTCAACAGTTGGGGATGCTTTCTTCACTGCATTCATTTTATAGTTGCATCTCTTCTCTTCTCCTCGAAAACCTTGTTTCCTAATAACATTAATACATTTACGGCTTTTATCTTAGGGCCTCTGGTGGCACAGTGGTTAAAGCATTTGGCTGCAAACCAAAAGGTTGGAGGTTTGAACTCACCAGCAGTCTGCTTTTGTAAAGATTGACAGACTTGGAAACCCTCCATGAAGGTTCTGCTCTGTCCTATAGACTCGCTATGAGTCGGAATCGACCTCATGGTTGGTTTGGTTTGGTTTTAATTTATCTTACATGTATTTCTTTCAGTACACATAAAACTCAAAATTATGATACCAAAGTTATACCACTGGCACCTCCTGAGTTATTTTAAGACTCTCCCGCGATCCTTCTTGTCTGTAGGATATGTCCCATGAGGGAGGCGGTTAGTTGTTGTGTGAGACACCATCCCCCCATTGTGTCCTATGAAGGAGGCGGTTAGTTGTCTTGTGAGATGCCCCCCCCACCGTGTCCTGTGAAGAAGGCCGTTAGTTGTCATGTGAGACGCCCCCCCTTCGTGTCCCATGGAGAAGGCCATTAGTTGTCATGTGAGACGCCCCCCCTTCGTGTCCCATGAAGGAGGCAGTTAGTTAGTTGTCATGTGAGATGCTCCCTCGTGGTGGCTGTACCACACGTCTAACGCACAGTTCAGTTCAGTGGTTTTTGTTTGTATTTATTTTCAGAGTTTGAAGGTTTTTTCTTTTTGGTGGATTTTTAAAACTGTGTAAGACATTTACTTGGTCACAGCTTGATCAAAGGGGTAGCCCGTCCTGGCACCCTGCCTCTCACACCCAGTACCCTTCTTTGGGGGGTTCTGCAGAACGTCATGATGGATCTCAAGGTGATTTCATGGAGACATTCACTCTGGCGCCCCCTACATCCCTCTGGGTTCTGTTGCTACTCCAGTGTGTTTGTATTCCAACGTGACAGTTCACCCGGCCAGCGCCTTGTGGTGGCCGCCAAAGTCATTTCCGGTCCTCACCTTTTATCAGTAAAGCTTCAGTGACTAGCCTTGTGGACATACTTCATGTTGAATCTGTGTGGTACGTCTTTAGAATAATAGAAGACACACGCCAGGTCCGAGGGCTTAAAGGCATCTCTGATTTTGCTCACGACTGTATTTTTATGCAAACAATGCACACACCACACTTGCTCATGGCTGTATTTTTATGCAAACAATGCACACACCGCACTTTCTTTGCAAACCGTGAAACCCCTTTGGGTGGCAGTTTCCTGTGAGTGCTATGCGTTATATATGTGTTATTTACGTGTGCATGTTATTTCTGTAAAATACTGTATTGCCAGGTTCCCCTGCAGGGTGTCCTGTGCTCACTCTCGCCAATAGCATGAGTGTGGTTCTCCATGGCCTGCCCAAGGGTGCGGCTGCTCTGACTTGACCCACGGCTGAGAGGGTGCCTGGGAGGGCTGTGAGTTGCATCTCTCGATACAGTGACGTTGAGGGGCTTTCAGGGGGTCTGCCTTTCTCATCCAGAAAATTCTGCTCATGCCTTCCTCCATTTGCCAGTGGGCTTCTACAAACTCTGCAAAACCTAGCCCACCAGCCTCGTCAAGAGGTGCTGACATTACCCTCAGCTTGGCATCTGTTTTCCATTCTGCTTCTCACATGAAGGGTGTTTTTGTGCCTGTGTGCCTGGGGGCCAGGGTAGCTGGCTGTCTGGGTGCTGGTGCAGCTGGGTGCCTGTGTGCCTGGGTGGTGTGGTTGGGTGCCTGGGTGCCGGTGTGGCTGGGTGCCCGGGTGTCAGCCCAGCTGGGTGCCTGGGTGCTGGTGTGGCTGGGTGCCCAGGTCCCAGTATGGCTGGGTGCCTGTGTGCCTGGGTGCCGGTGTGGCTGGGTGCCTGGGTGCCAGTGCAGCTGGGTGCCTGGGTGTCAGCGCGGCTGGGTGCGTGGGTGCCGGTGCGGCTGGGTGCCTGGGTGCTGGTGTGGCTGGGTGCCTGGGTGTCGGCATGGCTGTGTGCCTGGGTGCTGGTGTGGCTGGGTGCCTGTGTGCCTGGGTGTCGGCACGGCTGGGTGCCTGGTTGCTGGTGCGGCTGGGTGCCTGGGTGTCGGCACAGCTGGGTGCCTGGGTGCTGGTGTGTCTGGGTGCCTGTGTGCCTGGGTGCTGGCGTGGCTGGGTGCCTGAGTGCCAGTGCGGCTGGGTGCCTGGGTGCCGGTGTAGCTGGGTGCCTGTGTGCCGGCGCGGCTGGGTGCCTGGGTGCTGGTGCGTCTGGGTGCCTGGGTGCTGGTGTGGCTGGGTGCCGCCACTCACAGGCAGGTGCTCCTGGAGCTTTCCGACAAAAACCCGCACCTGCCTTGGGGGGCTGGGGGCCCACCGTGGGCAGGTGCGTGGCTTGCCGTGGACCTGGCCGGCAGCCCCTGACCACCTTGTCCCCCCGGCAGCCGTACGACGTGCTCCTGCTGCTTCTGCTGCTGGTCCTGCTGCTGCAGGCCTGCCTCACCACTGGCACCGTCGTCCAGTGCGTGCGCTTCAAGGTCCACGCTCGGCTGCAGGAGACGCCCTGGGACCCCGTGCAGGCCAGCCAGCCAGAGCCCCCAGCGGGGGAGGTGAGTGGGGACCCCTGTCCTGTCTGTCAGGGAACCTCGATGGCCAGAACCCCCAGCAGATGCATGAGCAAGGACGGTGGGGGCACCCTGGGCCACGCTGGGGGCCCCTCAGATTGCTGGCAGGAGCCCTGGTGGGGAGGTGGGGGTCTCTGGGGAGCTACCACCCGCGCCACCCATCCCTCTGGGGAACCCAGTGCCCACGGGACCCTCCCGTTGCCCTGTGCGGCGGCTCAGTTAGGGCTGCTGTGTCGGGAGTATCTTCTGGTTCTGTGTTATATTTTAAGGAGCAGAATCTTGAAGAAGTGACACATTTCTCTTTTTTTGTTCTTCAACATTCTTTTTATTTTTTAATTTTTATTGTGATTTGGGTGAAAGTTTACAGAGCAAATTCACTTTCCACACAGCAGCTCACAGACACTTTGTCTCATGACACTGACTGCAATTTCCCACAATGCAACAGCTCCCCTCCCACTCCCTCCCCATAGTTCCCTCTTCCCTGTGTCCTTCCCTCCATGCACTCCTGCCCCCTGAGCTGTTTCCCTGTGCACACACAGCCCGTCTATTCTCCCGTGACTGGTCTCTCCACAGAGACAGAACATATTTCTTTTTTTTTTTTTTGTATTTATTTATTTTTTAATTGTGATTTGGGTGAAGATTTACAGAGCAAATTCACTTTCTATACAGCAGTTCACATATACTTTGTCTCATGTCATTGACCACAGTTTACCACAATGCAACAGCTCCCCTCCCACTTCCTCCCCATAGTTATCTCTTCCCAGTGTCCATCCCTCCATACTCTCCTGCCTCCTGAGCTGTCTCCCTGTGCGTAAGCAGCCCTTCCTTCTCCCATGATTGTTCTCTCCAGGGCGTGTGTCTACTTGAGGTAAATGTTTAACTCACATGCCTGTACTTTGTTTGGCTGGAAACCACAGGTGTGGGTTCAATTCTAGACCTGAAGGGCAGCTCGGGGCCATAGTCTCAGTGGTTCCACCAGGCTCTATTGGACCAGCAAACCTGGTCCCACCTTTTTTTTTGCCTCCAAATGATTTTGAGTTTTGTTCCACATTGTTCTCCCTCTCTATGCAGGATCTCCTACATCCCTTCCAAATGGATGACAGTGGTAGCCGGGCACCATCTAGTTCTTCTGGTCTCATAGTTGTATAGGTTGCAGAGCAGATGGTGTACCAGTCGCTAGGACTGATTGTTTCCATTCATTTGGTTTTCTTCTTTCTTCTTGACGAGGAGACACCCATTGTTGCATCTAGATGGCAGCTTGCTAGCTTTTAAGATCCCAGTGGCTACTCGCCAAAGTAGGAGGTGGAACAATGTTTTGTATAGTATGTTATGCCAATTGAGCTTGATGTTCCCTGCGACTATGGTCCCAAGCCCGCAGGGTCAACTACTCGGTCCCTCTGGGTAGCTGGCTGTGACCAAGCAGTGACCACAAACTTGCCCCTTGTCAGCTCTACTATACACCTGGGAATTCTGATCATTCCCATAAACTTATAGGACCATTGTCTGCCAACCCTATATATGATCTTGGATACACTCCCCATTTAGATATACCTAATCATTTAGCCTGTCCACCTATCTATCTGTCCATATACCCATGTTTGCTTTCACTGACGACTCAGTACTGTATATGCAAAAGGATTCATCTTTGTTGTCTGTACTTCCCATGTACCTCTCCATGTCTTTCTCATACTCAATGCTGCCATATTGGTCACTCACCTTTGGTACATTGCCCTTCTCTTCACCCAAATCAATATTTATTTCAATCTATCTAACAGCGCAGAACACATTTCTTAAAACTGGCTCGACAAGCACACAGCCCTTCCTGGAAGAGAGTTGCTGGTGGCACAATTCCCTTCTACTTGTGCAAACACATACGCTGTCTTCGTCCTTGAGGCCCTGATCCTGACTGTCCCTGCAGGTGGCCAGAAGCCCTCGGCAGGAGTTCGACAAGGACAAGGCCTGGAGGGCCGTGGTGGTGCAGATGGCCCAGTGAACGCTCGGGGGCCCAGAGCGTGGCTTCCTCACCGTCCGCCTGCCTTGGAGGGGCAGCCTTGCCTGAGAGCTAGTGTCTTAATTTCTCACAGCTGCTTATCTTTGAAATAGGCAAACATCTGCTATTCTGTGCTTTATCGTGTTGTCAACGCAGGGACCCGGCCGAGTGAGAGGCAGGGCCCGAGGACACCATGTGGGTCTTGCTAGGTGAGCCCTGTGGGAGCACCCCCAGGCTCCATTGTGGACGTGGGGCTCCCCAGCTACGCCCTTGGGAGCCAGCCTCCTTGATCCCGCCTTGCCTGGTGCCCTCTGCCCTGCCTCCTCTCACTCTGTGCTCAGCCTCATGTGGATTTTCCTGGGGAGTGTAGCCACTTGGTTGTCTGGTCCCCGAGCCCTTCTTAAAGTCCACCATAAAGCAGACCACCACTGTCCCTCAGTCTCCGCCCACCTTCCACGCGGAGCGGGTCCAAGGCTGTGGAGACCCTGGCTGGACCACATCTCCAGTGTCTTCTGCCCTCGGTGCCCCTGTGGTGGTGGGGGTGTAGGTGGCTGAGCCCCCCTCCCCACCAGCCATATTGGCTCTGCTCTAACACAGCAGCTCCCTGAAGGCCCAGGGTCCCACCTGTACCCGACTCCCATTCTGTGATTCAAAATGCAGGCCAGGTTCCTCCTAGGCCCCTCTGGTGTTCCCATCCCTCTGTCCTGTACCAAGTCCCTGGTCTTGATCTTCACGTGCAGGTTTGCTGCAGGTCTAACCAGCCAGGGTCCCTGCTGTCTTGGCAGTCATTTGGGCTGGGGTCTCCATGCAGCCCCCCTCCCAACAGTGCATGGCCCAGCTGCATGGGCACTTTGGGTGCTGGAATAGCATCGTGTTTGGTTGATCACGGCCACGAGTGAGTTAGATTTGCATCCAACCTCCTTGCCCTTTAAGGATACCTGCGGCAGTCCTAGATTCTTTCAGAAGATCCGTTGGCCTCTCCCGGGGGCCAGGGGCCTCAGTAACTCCTCATGGGTTGGGCTGCCTTCTAGAACTGGGGTGTGGCTCACAGTTCAGGACACGTCTCCCACCATTTTCACACCCAGGCTGCATGTTGGTGCCCTGCTCTCGGTATTAAGAGATGCTAACAGAGGCTCGTTACTACTGTGCTGGGTACAGGACTGGCTCCCTGGGCTGGCGGGAGGTCTGGGCACACTTTGCAGCATGGGGCCACCAGGGTAAATGAACAGCAGCGGGGGTGTGGGCTGCACTGGGGGGAGAGCCGGGAGGAGGCGCTGTGGACTGCTCCCAGCTTCTGAATGACTGCTGCGCCGCATCTTGTCCTGCTGTTAATGGCGCGCTGGCTCACTGGGGGCAGGCAGGCAGCAGGAACGCAGGTAGAGCACCTGGACGGTGGCAGGTGGCGGCAGAGGAGATGCTGCCGGCAGCTCTGGCTGGCACGTGCGAGGGCACCCTGTGCTGTCCTCAGTGGCTCCAGAGGCAAGAGAGGGCGAGCCACCGTCCCCATGTCCTGAATCAGCAGGGCCACATCACCAGACCTGCACCTGCACTCGGGCAGACTCTGCCCGTCCCCGCCAGGGCCACCTTCCCTCGCCTGCATCTCCTGAAGCCAGAGGCCCGGTGGGCCTCTCTCCCCTAGGCCGCTCCTGGGTGGGGACAGGAACCACAGGGTCAGCACGGGTTGGCGCTTACAGCCACGACCGGGCACCAGCAGGGCTCATTCTGCTCACACTTTCTTCTTGTGCAGAGAGCTGGAAGAACCCAGAGGAGCAGGGCTCGAAAGGTTTAACTGTCTTAACTCCGTTTGGCTGGGTCTGCTTTAACACTGCTCACACAATAAATGCTAACTGGGAGTGCGACAGTGGCCTTGTTAATGCTGGATCCCCAGGGAGCCCTTTGCTTGGGTCCCGATGGGGCGTGGGGAGGGGAAGGGGGCCTGTTTTGTTCACAGAGCCTGGAAGAGGGTGTTCAGGGGCTTTGCTTGGCCCAGCCTCGGTCAGGCAGGGCTCTGAGGTGGGCTCCAAGAAAGGGCGTGTGTGCATGACCTGCCAGGGTGGAGGCGAGAAGGGGTCTGCAGGGCTCCTCGAGAGAGCCCCCACTTGCTCCTCCAGGAACCACTTTCAGACGAGAGTAGAATTCCTTCTGGAAATTAAATGTAAAAGGTGATTTTAAACCAAGAAGGGGCCCTGGGTGAGGAGGGGCCCTGGCTTAGGAGCCCTGGTTGGCACAGTGGTTAAAGTGCTCATCTGCTGTCCTCAAACCCACCAGCTACTTCTTAGGAGAAAGACGTGATAGCTTCGGTAAAGATTACGATATTAGAAACCCTGTGAGGCAGCGCTATCCTGTCCTCCAGGGCTGCTTGGTAGCAATGGGTTTGAGAGTCCCTATGGTTGGGCAACCTACTTCTGTAGTGATACTGCCTCGGCAACCCAAGGAGGCGTTGCTATGAGTTTGAGACCACTGGACGGCACCCAACAACAACAACGTGATACAGCCAAAATGACTGGCTGCTGACCAAACGGTTGGAGGGTCCAGTCCACCTAGAGGCACCTCGCTGAAAGGCCTGGTGATCCGTGTACTTTCAAACAATCAGCTTTGAAAACCCTACGGATTCTTCTCTGACACACCTGGGGTCACTATGAGTCTGGAAGACACTACAGCAACTGGATTGGTTTTTTAAAATGACACAAAGTTCTAGGTTTGAGAGAGTAAGTGAAGGCGCCACCAGCCCTCCCTAAAATGCCCAATCACAGGGACACCCGGAAGGCAAGGAGTGTGGGGGTGGGAGGGAGGGGACGTTCTGGGGCGGCCTGGACGTGGTGTCAGCCCACCAGTGATGCTCGGGACACGAAGGCCACTCCCGGTTCCGCTGAGAGGCGGAGCCACCTTGCTATCCCCCAAAGCCTTGCACACCCACCTGGGCAGGACTGTGTGGCTGCCCCTCAACACCTGGGCCAGGGGCGGGGGCATCTCGTTGGGGCCCCAGGCAGTGGGATTGGAGGGTCTCAGTGGGAGCCCCGGAGTTGGGGGGAGAGACCGGGCCGGCTGGGGCGCAGGGTGTGACCTGCTGGTCTTTGTGACTTGGCGGGGGGTCTCTGACTGCGAGGGCGGGTCCGTGTGATCCGAGGCTGGGCGGGGCGGCCACATGCGCGCCCTCCTGCCGGTGGACACCATGGCCGCCGCGACACAGCGCCCGGGCCCCCGACCCCGCGCCAGCGGCGGCTGCGCCTCGGACCGTGGCCTCCAAGCCGGCCCTCATCCCGCGCGC